TTGCGTTTTAAGTGAAGCAAAATTGGTATAGAACTAATTTTGATAAAAATTACGATTTTTACATAAAACCAGGAAAAAAGATTGTCACATTAAATGCAGTTATTGCAATATTTCGAGGTGGGGCGTGCCCCAAAAAATTAACATACAGTTGTGTAAAAGAATAAATATTTACATTGTAACATCGTACAAATTAATTTTATTTTAAAATATGCATAATTCTTGGATTAGGTATAAATAAGAGTTTGTTTGTTACACTTAATTGCAATTATAAATTTAAAGGACTCTCTTTAGAAGAAGGATGCAAATGGGTTACACATTTAGACAGGTGATTCTCGGTGACTAGTAAAATAAATTATAAAGATTAATCCATTTTTATTATTTATTCTTACGACACTGTACAAAAATTCGTAGCCCTTGAAATAATTTTGAAGCTTCGCTGCTTTCGTGTAACAGAAGAATCTTCGAGTGCAAAGTGTTAAGATCACAAAGAGCTGCAATTCTTATGCACTTCAAACTCCTCCTTCCATTTTTCCATTTCTCCATCCACCGATCATTTAATCGCTATTTAACAAACACGTTACTCTACAAAATTTAGTAGCCTTCGTAACAGCTTCGAAGCTTCGCTGCTTTCGTGTAACAAAAGAATTTTCGAGTGCAAAATGTTAATATCACAAAGAGCTGCAATTATGCACTTCAAACTCCCCCTTCCATTTTTCCATTTCTCCGTCCACCGATCCTTTAATCGCAATTTAACATCGTCGTTAAATAGCTGTTAACCCAATGGAATAGACTCTCTTCTCGACGCGAAATTACAACTGTCTCGCACTAGATACCCAACCCTGACACTGTGAAACAACGAAACCAGGAGTAACCCCGTGAAAGAAAGGTAACCCAACCGAAGAGGAATCCTCGAAGCCAATTTGTCGCGTGTCGCCGAGCCTATAAAACTGTCCTTCGAGACAAATTACTCGCTAAACTCTGCTGTTGGAGTCTCCTCACCTCGAAACGGAGTTGCGAAACGACGCGTCACGAGGTCCTCCGGCTCTCTGTGCTCGGTCTTCCAGAAAACGAGCAGATGTTTACGACAAAAGTTCGCGGTTATTGAACCAGTTGGCCGGTCGTCATTACGTTCCGTCACGAGACATATGAAGGCAATTTGTTCGAGTGGAGCTCATTCGTCTCGTTTCTGCGAGGCTTCCCGACGATAACGCGAAATCCGGCTGCAACGCGGATTCGTGTTCCCCGGGCACGACACGAAATCGACCTAACAACCGAAAAGGAGACTGCGGAATTAAAGTCCGTTAAAGAAACGAGGGGAAAAAAGAAAGGAGAGAAAGGACCGACGGAGAAGGGGATCGCGAGCAGGGAAGACGAGGGAGGAGAGCTTCCGTTGAACTGATTAGAGCTCGAGTCTTCGAGGAACCTTCGCGATGGAATGCGCTCCAATGGTCGACGCATCACGAACCACGTTCCTTTCATTCGCGATCGTCCTGCCAGCCTTTCACGACTGCGAAAACTCCACGCCGACTACGAAAATCCCTCCGTCCGATTGCCACGAGTCTCCTCCGTGTCGAAACCGGGCAAGCCAGGGAACCTTCCATCTCTATATCTCTATTTCGGTTCGGAGATTGGAGTTTCCGATTTTTCGACGGGCAAGAATGGCTCGGAGGAATGCCGACTAACGGTTCCAGGATGGCCGATATTTCGTTAATTTCGGAGGGAAAAAGGAAGACGCAGGAGCGAGGAGGGGTCAGGTAGGAGGAGAGATAGACCGAGAATGGAAAGAGAAAGGATCGCAGCCTCTGCCTTCCAGCGATCTTCGGTTTCCTTCCATCCTCGGGAGTAATGATATACCGCGAGTTTCCTGAAAAAGGGAGAATACGTCGCGTTAACCAGAATTCGCACTTCCACGGTTCGCCAACGACTTCCAGAGAACGAGGCAGTATTTGCTTTCCGACCCGGAATCGGATGAATAGGTTTCCTGAAACCCGACTCGAAATCGATTCCTACTCGCTTCTCAGTCCTAGACCCGCTTCCCTGAACGCGTCCACGTAACGACCAAACGATATTCCAAAAATAGACAAAACGCGAGAATCTAGAGCCCTTACGACTGGTAGCTGGGTTGCAATGCTCCAGGATGAACACGAGGCTTGCACAATGTTCGTGTTTAACCGCGACGTTGGTGTTCGTGGACATTGAAAATCGCTGGTGCTATTGTTTCCTTCTTTTTGGGAACTTTTTTCTTGCTGGATGGTCGTTTGAGATTGGCCTTAGAGAATATAGAAATTTATATTAAATCGGTGCTTCGTTTGTAGGTTATCATGGGTACAGAGAGCGTGGTAGATCTAAAAGTCTGAGTCGTGTGTAGTAGGAAGTTCCAAGGTAATTAATATACGTTTTCTATGGCAACTTAGGGATTCTGTTGGGTAGGTTTGCATATATATTTGCAATATTAGGATCCAGATATTAAGAAAATGGGAAAGAAAGAGAGGAAATTTAATTTTTTAACCTTTTAGACCAGAAAGTCTTCGATATCGATGCACCCGTTCAAAAATAATAAATATACATTTTCTATAGCAATTTATAGATTCCATTGCCTAGGTTTGCATACGTATTTGCGATATTAAGGTCCAAACATTAAGAAAATGGAAAAGAAAAAGAGAAAATTGGATTCTTTGGCCCTCTAGATCAGAAAGTCTTCGATATCGATGCACCCTCTCCAAACTAACAGATGTACGTTTTTCATAGCAATTTATAGATTGCATTGGGTAGATTTGCATACGTATTTGCGATATTAAGATTCAAACATTAAGAAAATGGAAAAGAAAAAGAGAAAATTGGATTCTTTGGCCCTCTAGATCAGAAAGTCTTCGATATCGATGCACCCTCTCCAAACTAACAGATGTACGTTTTTCATAGCAATTTATAGATTGCATTGGGTAGGTTTGCATACGTATTTGCGATATTAAGGTCCAAACATTAAGAAAATGGAAAAGAAAAAGAGAAAATTGGATTCTTTGACCCTCTAGATCAGAAAGTCTTCGATATCGATGCACCCTCTCCAAACTAACAGATATACGTTTTTCATAGCAATTTATAGATTGCATTGGGTAGGTTTGCATACGTATTTGCGATATTAAGGTCCAAACATTAAGAAAATGGAAAAGAAAAAGAGAAAATTGGATTCTTTGACCCTCTAGATCAGAAAGTCTTCGATATCGATGCACCCTCTCCAAACTAACAGATATACGTTTTTCATAGCAATTTATAGATTGCATTGGGTAGATTTGCATACGTATTTGCGATATTAAGATTCAAACATTAAGAAAATGGAAAAGAAAAAGAGAAAATTGGATTCTTTGGCCCTCTAGATCAGAAAGTCTTTGATATCGAGGCACTCGTTCCAAAATAACAGATATACAATTCCTGTGGCAATTTATGGATTCCATTGAGTGGGTTTGGACACGTATCTTCAATATTAGGATCCAAACATTGAGAAAGTAGAAAAGTAAAAAGGAAAATTGAATTTTGTAACCTTCCAGATCAAAAAATCTTCGATATGGAAGCACCCGTTCTAAAATAACAGGTTTCTATGCCAATTTATGGGTTTCACCGAGTGGGTTTGCGCACAGATTTCTAAAATTAAAGTTGAAACATTAAAGAAATAAAAAGGAAAAAGAAGGAGTCGACCTTCTTGACCCTCTAGACCAGAAGACGCCGTTGAGTTAGGTATAGAATTGGTACCCATCGATGAAGAGTATCATGCTACACGCATGCGATACATGGTCGACCGATAGAGGATGCAGAAAATTAGTATCGCGATAGCGTATCTCACAAGGATCGCTGTTTAATCGCTCCTGTTGAATTAATCCTTTGCATTATACACTGGTCGCGTGAGCAAAATTATATCGAACGCGTTTCAACGTAAATAAAATTTATACACATTGTGGAAGCTTTTATAGCTTTGCTGTGAACGAAATGGTACACGGTGACTGAGAAAAGTGGAACCGTTTTAAACGCATAATTCTTTACGATTAAATCACAGCACTGAGAGTTCAAGGCATTTTACAAAAATTTATTTGATTTTAATTAGCCGTGACATACTTGTTCCATTCGCGAGTAGATTATACAATTCTTCAGCGTTGGAGAGTTCCAATCTCTCGCTTCTAGCGACATTTGAAATGTTTTTGGCTATTCAAGTAGAAACCTAACGATGGAAGTCACTTCCTTCCAAGCTACTATGAAGAAAGCACGTATAGTTATTTCGATTGTAAGACATTACCCCAGTAAAACATAACCCATCCACTGTATTTACAACATTCAGGATCACGCAAATTTTGCACACGTTAGAGTACATTCGATATAATTTCCGTCCAATGCGAGTGTAATTGAACGAGTCTTTATGGGGTTTAGGTTATCGCGTTCCGTTAATTATTGCAAATCATTCTTCGACTGCGAATCAATAAAACACTGTCGTTTTACTAGGCTCGCTGATAGCATAAATCATAAATGAAAGTTTAATATAGCGTTGTAATGCAGCTTTAACACGTTTATTGTCACGCACTTTTTGTATGTCGCGCTCAAAAGGCCACGATAAAATTTCCATTATTCTCATGACACGATGATGAATTATCAAACGAGTTGGCAAAAAAGGAACTAGATAGCGCGTATTATTAATCTTCTCTGTTTACACACGTTGCTCAGATTTTCAAGAAATTGTTAAAACGAAAGTAATATAAATTATAGGAATGCATCCCCTGTCAGCGATGACCATTATAGTCCCACTGAAGAGACAGTCAACGTTTTAACGTATTAAATTCCCAAACAATTGCCTAGACTAGTCGGTATTACTGTACCTTACGACACAAACGAACCCTCGCGAATGCGTGCATCGGACGCCATACAGAGCTGGCAAGCGAGGGAAAGTAAAGAAAAAGAAAGCAAAATCAGAAAAAGAGGTAAACGGAGAAAGAAAGTAAAAAGGCGTTGTTTGGTTACAGGTCTGGTTTCAGAATCGACGCGCAAAGTGGCGGAAACAGGAGAAGGTCGGGCCGCAGGCACATCCATACAATCCGTACTTGGGATCAGGTGCACCACCTCCATCGGCGGTCGTCGCGCCGACCTTGCCGAACCCTTTCGCCCACCTGGGCACGTTTGCCCTGCGGAAACCCTTCGACGCGTTTCGTTACCCACCTCTGGGTCACGGACCGGTCCTTCCCGGTAGTTACACCGCTCATCCCTATCATCGCGCGCCGCCACCTTTGCTACCACCTGGAATGCCTCTGCCTTACACGTCGGCCGCGTCCTTTCAAAGTCTCCTGGCCAACATATCCGCGGCGCAGAGGCCGAAATTGGTGCGCGGCTCGCCGCCACCTCCGCCTCCGCCTGCTCCGGCGCCCGCCATCAGCCTGCCTCATCCGCCGGTCCCGCCGCCTCCACCGACCGCCAGCTCACCGCAAGGATCGCCCACAGGCAGCGTCGGCCTGCCAGACATCGACAGACGATCCAACAGCATCGCCTCCCTCAGACTCAAGGCCAGGGAGTACGAGCTGCACCTCGAGATGCTTCGCAAGAACGGCGATCTGATCAGCTGAAGAGGTTCGTGCACCGTGCAAACGCCTAGCTACGATTGAATTAACGGTGCCGAGACGTCCACGTCTGTGCATCGAGTAGACCTGGCCACCCATCGACCGCTCGCGACGTCCGCTGAACAACACGACCGGTCGAGCAGCAGCTAGTGCAATTTAGCCGCAAGACCCCGGGGACCAGACTGGACCAGCGATCCTCGCCTGCTGCCACCGATCCATACCAACATCCATACCGACCGTGTCGCTTTGGGACCGCGCTTTTCGTATGTTTCGTACGAGATACGAGCCAAAGAACTCGCTTCGAAGTGGCCGAGCACTTTGTACATTCTACTTACTCCACTGCGTGTACCCGAGGGAAGGTTGAACGACGGTTATCCTTCTTTCTGTGATCACTTGTGCCTTCGTTACGTAATATAATCTTAGGACCCGAGCGTGCTCCTCGAATCGCATGCCGGGGATCACCAGTGTCCGGGATGATCGACGTGGACCCAGCGCGAGCTCAGGCCCACGCCTCATCGCCCAGACGATCGTCGGTGCTCATGAGATTCCAGGCACCACCTCGGCAGGCTTCAGACCCCGGCCTTCGCGCGGAACATTCGTCACAGTACACTCGTGCACCGACGATTCGCCCGGTCCGGCTCGCGTCCAAGATCCCGATTTCGATGATCCTTCGGAGGATCTCTCGTCCGAGCTCTCCGCCGATCGTCGTAATCGTCTCGACGCCTGCCCGACTCGACGAATCGCTCGAGCGACAGTCTTTTACAGCGTCGTTCGTCAAGAACGATATACCTGTCCACGTACAAACGAGTTTCTTCAACCTCCCTCTCAACGCCATGCGCCATGCCGGCTTCGAACGGTCGCGAAGAGACCTCTTCGTACTGTATGTGATTTACAGTAACGGCGAGACGACGTTTCGGAATGTACACACGAATATACGCGCACACGCGTTCGCGCTCGCGCGAGCATCGTCCGCGACGTCCCTCGAATCCGCGGAGCGTCTCGCGCGAAAATCCGCCATGCTTCCCCGCCGGATGCGGGTTTCCCTCGGTTCGCCAGGTTCCCCGGCGAATGCGGATCGCCTCTCATTCACGATGTTTCCCCGTGAATAGCGGATCCTCCTCGATTCACCAGTACCTCGCCGTGAAATCCTGATCCGCGCGGGGAAGACGCGCGACGATGATCCTACGAGACTAGGAATTTTCGCCGCGAGACACCCGATCGATTCCACGGACGATCCGCGAAACGATCTCGATCGTGGTCGCTCACCGTGTCGGCGAATCGGGAACGTCTGCTCGCGATTAAGGTTTACTTTTAAGCAAAGCATCATCGAAAGATGTCCGTCCAGAAAGATTCTTCTGCAACATTTGTAACCGTAAAATCGTTGCTTCGAGAGAGAATGATGAGAGAGAAAGAGCGCAAAGAGAGAGAGAGAGAGAGAGAGAGAGAGAGAGAGAGAGGATGAGAGCGACGATGACGTGTACGAAATGTGAGTTGAAAGATTTTTAAAATCGGGAAAATTCGCGCGTTGTAAGAAAGTGCGGGAGAAAATGATGAGAGAAGAAGAGAGGAGAGAGAGAGAGAAAAGCGGCGATGACGTGCACGAAATGTGAGTCGAGAGATTTTTGAAATCCGAAAAATTCGTGTGTCGCAGTAAAGAGCGAGAGAAAGCGATGAGAGAAGAAGAGAGGAGAGAGAGAGAAAAGCGGCGATGACGTGCACGATATTGAGTCGAGAGATTTTTAAAATCCGAAAAATTCGCGCGTCGTAGGAAATAGCGGGAGAAAGCGACGAAAGAAGCGACGATGACGTGAACGAAATGTGAGTTGAAAGATTTTTAAAATCAGGGAAAATTCGCGCGTCGCGAGATTATTCGAGATGGGTGTGATCATTGCGAGGACAGCGCGCCATTTCTTCACTTTTTACGCGGATCGTGCGCCTTTTTAGATAAGTGGGAAGAGAAAAGTACTATTTATATACGCGTTCTTTAATTCTTGAATGTTCAACGTTTATTACGATAAGTTTTACGACTGTATTAAGCATACCCTAGCGTGTAAGTTGATTGTAAATATCCAACGACGCGTGCGTGACTTTGCGGAGAGACCTCGCGGTTGTATTCGCGGATCGCGGACCGCGCGACGATATCGCGGATTTTTCCACGGATCATCGACATCTCGGAGAAAACCACGTCGCGCCCGTACAGCTCGATACCATCGCTGAAGCGTCGACGATCTCTAAGAGAGTTCAGCGTGAGGAACGATCGAACTTGCGAATAGCAACTACCGATCTGCTCGAGGATCTCGAACGGGGAGGGAGCAAGCAAAACAAAAAAAAAAAGAGAAAAAGAAAAAGTGAAAAAAAGGGGGAAAAAGATATATACGATAAATAAGAGAATGCAACGTCGTCGAACGATTTCATTTTCCACGAGTAAAACGAATCATTGGGTGTCCATTGTACTTGATTTCATTCAACCCTCTTCTACCATCCCCTTTTCTCCGACCAAGCATCGCGGTGTGGGAAAAAGGTGAAGAAGAGCGAAAGTGAAGAGGAGAGACTGTGAGAGAGAGAAAGAGAGGGAAAGAAGAGAGTGCGTGCGAGAGAGTTATTTATCGAATCCTTTCTACCGATTATCCAATGATATCGATATCCAAGGAACAAAAACACGATGCACGGTAAAAAGTATTAATTTGCAGGCTCGTCGACTTCCTGAAGAAAGGGAGAAAATGAAAGAAGGAACTCGCCATTACCTTGCACATACATTATAACTCGAAGAGTTTTCAAGAGCTTCCAACTGCTGCTGGGCTGACTTATGACAAGTAATTCGCGCCCGGGCACGCCCGTCGACGAGTTATTTAAATATTTTACAGTTTAATGGAGTCCCAAGCCATTAATGCGCGTCAGCTAATTAGCGGCATCGTGAATACCTGCGTTCCCCTCCGAGTGCTAACGATCTTGAGGTTGATAAATCGAACGATTACCGACAAAACGATCCGCCGATCAAATCTGACGCAGGCTTAAGTGCACTGCTTCCTTCGGCTCGACCATATGCTCTGATCGAACCTGCGTGCTACATGGTTGAGCAATGTCTCGCGAGCACACCGTGAACTCGATCGGGACTAAACGCTTAATGGACGTGTCTTAACGACACCTTTTACTCTTCCACGCTCGATCCGACGCTCGATCCGTCGTCCCAACTGCTGCAAATGTCGGGAAACCGAGCGAATCCACGCTCGTGCATTCAGGCTGCTGCGCGCCATTTTTCCTTCTCTCGGTTTTCACTTCTAGTCGGAATCGAGAGAAATTTCGAAGACGATTTTTAAGTGGATCGAGTCTGGATTGCGATAGGCTACTACCAGATGGTACACTGGTAATTGTTATTTTTCGTTTACTTTCATATCGAATTGGAATCGAGAGAAATTTAGAAGACGTTTACTTGAATCGAGTCGAAATTTTGATAGGGTATTTCCAAATGGTACACTGGTAATTGTCATTTTTCGTTTACTTTTATATCGAATTGGAATCGAGAGAAATTTAGAAGACGTTTACTTGAATCGGGTCGAAATTTTGATAGGGTATTTCCAAATGGTACACTGGTAATTGTAATCTTTTATTTATTTTTATATCGAGTCGAAATCGAGAGACATTTTGAAGGCGATTTGTAATAAAATCGGTTTGGGAAAATTAGTCGAATAGGGATTGCGATAGGGTCCTACCAGATGGTACACTGGTAATTGTAATCTTTTATTTATTTTTATATCGAGTCGAAATCGAGAGACATTTTGAAGGCGATTTGTAATAAAATCGGTTTGGGAAAATTAGTCGAATAGGGATTGCGATAGGGTCCTACCAGATGGTACACTGGTAATTGTAATCTTTTATTTATTTTTATATCGAGTCGAAATCGAGAGACATTTTGAAGGCGATTTGTAATAAAATCGGTTTGGGAAAATTAGTCGAATAGGGATTGCGATAGGGTCCTACCAGATGGTACACTGGTAATTGTAATCTTTTATTTATTTTTATATCGAGTCGAAATCGAGAGACATTTTGAAGGCGATTTGTAATAAAATCGGTTTGGGAAAATTAGTCGAATAGGGATTGCGATAGGGTCCTACCAGATGGTACACTGGTAATTGTAATCTTTTATTTATTTTTATATCGAGTCGAAATCGAGAGACATTTTGAAGGCGATTTGTAATAAAATCGGTTTGGGAAAATTAGTCGAATAGGGATTGCGATAGGGTCCTACCAGATGGTACACTGGTAATTGTAATCTTTTATTTATTTTTATATCGAGTCGAAATCGAGAGACATTTTGAAGGCGATTTGTAATAAAATCGGTTTGGGAAAATTAGTCGAATAGGGATTGCGATAGGGTCCTACCAGATGGTACACTGGTAATTGTAATCTTTTATTTATTTTTATATCGAGTCGAAATCGAGAGACATTTTGAAGGCGATTTGTAATAAAATCGGTTTGGGAAAATTAGTCGAATAGGGATTGCGATAGGGTCCTACCAGATGGTACACTGGTAATTGTAATCTTTTATTTATTTTTATATCGAGTCGAAATCGAGAGACATTTTGAAGGCGATTTGTAATAAAATCGGTTTGGGAAAATTAGTCGAATAGGGATTGCGATAGGGTCCTACCAGATGGTACACTGGTAATTGTAATCTTTTATTTATTTTTATATCGAGTCGAAATCGAGAGACATTTTGAAGGCGATTTGTAATAAAATCGGTTTGGGAAAATTAGTCGAATAGGGATTGCGATAGGGTCCTACCAGATGGTACACTGGTAATTGTAATCTTTTATTTATTTTTATATCGAGTCGAAATCGAGAGACATTTTGAAGGCGATTTGTAATAAAATCGGTTTGGGAAAATTAGTCGAATAGGGATTGCGATAGGGTACTACCAGGTGGTACAATTGTAATTGTCATTTTTCGTTTACTCTCATATCGAGTTGGAATCGAGAGAAATTTAGAAGACGATGTTTAGTTGATTCGAGTTGAAATTGCGATAGGGTACTACCAGATGGTACACTGGTAATTGTTATTTTTCGTTTACTCTCATATCGAGTTGAAATCGAGAGAAATTTAGAAGACGATGTTTAGTTGATTCGAGTTGAAATTGCGATAGGGTACTTCGAAATGATACACTGGTGATTGTAATCTTTTACTTATTTTTATGTCTAGTCAGAATCGAGAGGTTTGGAAGACAATTTTTAGATGGGTTGCGTTGAAATTGCGATAGGGTACTTCCAGATGGTACACTGGTAATTGTAATCTTTTATTTATTTTTATATCGAGTAAGAATCGAGAGAAATTTCGAGACGATTCGTAGTGCAATCGGTTTGGGAACATTAGTCGAGACTGCATTGCGATAGAGTATTACCAAATGGTACATTGGTAATTGTTATTTTTCATTTACTTTCATATCGAGTTGGAAACGAAAGAAATTTAGAGGACGAATTAAGAACTTGAATTTATTTTAGCATCAAATTAAATAAACGATACCGATAAATTATATTTCTCTATAATAATGAGAAAATCATCTTCTTGGGAACTTAATTATTTAATACAGAGAACCATATTTTATCGGTACTTTCTATTCAATTCGACATGAAAATAGAGCAGTTTTCGAATTCGACAAGAATTTTGGTTTTAGCCTAATTTCGAGTCAAACTCGAAGAGAACCTAGACAATAAATCAAATCTAGATCACGATACCCTGTACCAATTGATACGCGAAAAATAATCACTTCCTGTCATTAGACTTCGAATAAAAATCGGAAGGAACCTGGAAATCGGTTTTCCATTAAAATCGGCGACAAAAAATGAATCCAGTCTAGATCAAGATATCGTGTACCAGCTGGTACGCTATTAATAATTGCGTTCTGTCGTTGGATTTCGAACAAAAATCGGGAGAAAGACCTGTATTTCTCGATTTCTCGTCAAACCGATTCGTGGAAGATCAACGGGTTCAATTCGCAATTATTCAACAGCGATGTCCATAAATTTTTGAAAAGATATTTACTCGATAACGATCCACGTACCAGCTGGTACCCAATTTACAACCTCCTTCCGTCATTCGATTTCGAACAAAAGCCGAGAAAGAACCGATATTTCTCGATTTCCTTGGAAGATCAATGGTGCCGACAATTCGCAATTATTCAACAGCGATCTTCATAAATTTTCGGAAAAATATTTACTCGATAACGATACCATGTGCCAGCTGGTATTCCGTCGTTCGTTTTCGAAGAAAAATCGGCAAGAGATCTATATTTCTCGATTTCTCGTGAAACGGATCCGCGGGAGATCAATCGAGCCGATAATTCGCAACGATTGGGCCACGATCTGTATAAATTTTCGGAAAAACATCGACTCGATAACGCGCGTCACGATAAGAGGGGGAACGAGAACGAGCAGAGGCGTGTCCCTATGGTGATCGAGGTCCGATGATTCGGGCCGCGTGGTCTGTTGATCTCTCGCGATCGAGATGCAGACCACGCAACCGGCCGATCCCGAATTCATCGTGTTGGCCTGGCCATTAGCAAATTACTACGGTGTAAACAGTATCGACGGTGCCCGCGGGTACGTCGGCTAAGTGCACCGGTCTACGTATGCATACGTAGATGTTTATACGTCGCAGGGATAGCGGAGAAAGCCAGTTAGTTAGTAACCGATCATTATAGCGACGTTTTACACCGGCTCTAGCCACCTAATAACTGTCTACATCGGAATGAATTTAGCGATCGGTAGCAACCGGCTTCCAAACCGGCTACGTTCACCGAAAAAAGAAGTATTAGACGGGTCGAAAAGAATGTGCTCTCGAAACAGTGATTTGTTCGATACCAATTTCCGAGCTACTGCTAAGGTTATACACGGTCAACGATATCGTGGAGAACGCCTCGACCAGGCTTAGGCTTCTCTTCCACTCGAATTTACCCTTTTGGGGTACCTAGACCCGCGCAGTTGAAGATTTCTCCGAGTATTTGACTACACTTGGTCGACGGCTACCGGGAAACTGGACGTTTTCTCGTCTATTTCGAACGCAATGACGAAATTATGGCAAGGAAACTCTGGGGGAGCAATTAAGCCTACGAAGGTAGAGATTTTTCCAACGCTATTGGACTCGCGATCAGCGAGAAATCGAAAGTTTACGAGGTTCCGGGACGCATCTGGTCGACTCAGAACGCGATGACGAAATTATCTCGAGGATATTTCGAGAGTGATTAAGTATACGATGTTCCAGATTTTATCAACAGGTCGACTGGATCCATGATTGTCAGGAAATAAAAGATTTACGAGGTTTTAGACGCGTGTGTTCGGTGAACAACTGCAATTCGGAATTATTACGAAGGAACTTAGGCTTATGAAGCTTAGAGATGTCTTCGACTATTCAACGAGGTCGATGATTATCGGGAAATAAAAG